TTAGTCTTTCCAAACTTGGTACATGCCTCCCATTCTGGCTGTGGATACAGAGGGAAGAAAGGGAAGGTTTAACTTACAAATTAATTTTAAAAATATTTAATAAGGGCCTACTATGTTAGAAACTACCAAGATTTAAAATGGGAATAATGACTGTTTCTATTGGGTGGGGTTATTCGGAAGTAGAATTTTATTATTTTTTAAATTGTGGTAAATACACATAAAATTTACTACCTTAACCATTTTAAGTATACAGTTTAGTGTTGTTTAGTCACATTAACTCCCCAATTACCCATCCCCTCCTGGCAACCACCATTCATTCTGTTTCTATGAATTTTACTATTCTAGCAATCTCATGTAAGTGGAATTATACAGTACTTGTACTTTGGTGACTGGCTTATTTCACTCAGCAATAACATTCTCAAGGTATATCCATGTTATAGCATGTGTCAGAATTTCCTTTTTAAGGCTGAATGATATTCCATTATATGTACATGTTATTTATCCGTGTATCTGTCAGTAGACACTTAGGTTGCTTCTACTTTATGGCTATTATGAATAATGTTGCTATGATACACTGATGTGCAAATATCTTTTACCCTGCTGTCAATCTTTTGGATGTATACCCAGAAGTGGAATTGCTGGATCACGTGGTCATTCTATTTTAACTTTTTGAAAAAATATTGTTTTTCTGAGTGGCCACCATTTTACATTCCCACCAACAGTGCACAAGGGTTCTAATTTCTCCACATCCTCTCAGCACTTGTTGTTTTCTGTTTCAATTCATTTTGTTTGTTATAGTAGCCACCCTGTTGGGGGTGAGGTGATACCTCAGTGTGGTTTGGATTTGCATTTCCCTAATGATGAGTGATGTTGAGTATCTTTTCATATGTTTGTTGGCTATTTGTATATCTCCTGTGGAAAATGTCTACTCATGTCTTTAGTCCACTTTTTCAGTTTTTTGTTATTGTTGTTGTTGAGTTATAGGAGTTCTTTATAAATTCTGGACATTAACCCCTAACCAGGTATGTGATTTGCAAATATTTTCTTCCATTCTATAGGCTGCCTTTTCATTCTGTTGTCTATGTCCTTTGATGCAGTTTAAAATCTTTATGTAGTCCAATTTATCTATTTGTACTTTTTCTATCTTTTTAAAAATATATATGTTTTTATTGATTTCAGAGAGGGGAAGGGAGAGGGAGAGGGAGAGAGAAACAGCAATGATGAAAGAGAGTCAGGGATCAGCTGCCTCCTGCACGCCCCCCACCAGGATAGAGCCCGCAACCCTGACGGGGAATCAAACCCTGATCTCCTGGCTCATGGGTCGATTCTCAACCACTGAGCCACGCCAGTTGGGCTCTATTTTTACTTTTGTTGCCTGTGCTTTTGGTGTCACATCTAAGAAATCATTGACAAATCCAATGTCATAAAGCTTTTCTCCTATGTTTTCTTCTAAGAGTTTTATAGTTTTAGGTCTTATGTGTAGGGAGAAGTAAATTTTAATATGTAGCAGGTAGCACTAAGGGAGGAGTAGTCCAGAGGGAAAGAATAGCAAAAGCATGTAGAGTAAGCATGGAAGATTAGGAGACAAGGAACAGTTCAGCCACATTAGAGGACAGGATTGCATGAAATGAGACCATGGGAGCAAAAAAGATTAGGTATGTTGGGTTGGGGTTGGTTATTAGAACAGAGATTACAAATTTGGTCCCCACACAAGTTTCATTTGGCTTACACAACTTTGAAAAAACTTTTAAATTTCATAAATGAGCACATGCCTAAATTAAGTCTATGACTTCTCATGAAAAATCCAAAGATCAGAAAACATAGGGCCCACATTCCTGCTTAGCAATAAGTGGTGGGAACAGCAACTGTCACCCTTTTAAATAGAACCTAAGATTTCCTGATTGCCACAGTACCCACCACTTTTTTCTAGTCTCTTATACCAAGCATTTAGACACATGTAGATCTTGATTGTTAAGCTAAAGGAATCTGGACTTCATTAGTGTCGGGGAATCCTGAAAATATTTGAGTAGGGATGTTGCATGAATATAGCTGTTTTCTATAAGAATTAATTCAACCATATCAAAGAATTGCCTAGGCTCTGACTTTATGAAGAATAAAAGGGAAGTGAATATTATATGGGGCAGAATATCTGGTACTAGGCTTCTCCCTATGTAGTATTTTTCAGTAAAGGAGAAAAAGGAGTTCTACGGGAAAAGGTTATGTCTCAATGTGATTTATAATTTGATAACTCTGAAAACCCAATATCTTAGGTAATGTCTAGTTCATCCTTGCAGTTAAAGATATATGAGAAGAGAATCTCACCAGTTCCTTCAGTTACCAGATTGATGGGAGCTGGATTTTTCGGGGG